TTTGAGAGCATTAAATTGATAAATAGAAGATACGTCATAAAATGTGAAATAAATTGATTAGTTAAATAACTTTTTAAACATTTAAATGGTCCTTAGGTGAATTTTCATAATTTCAACTGTTTTAAAATAATTCTTCTTCATCAAAATTTAGTTTTTTTCTTTTTTCATATTTTATGATTTCAGGTTTAAATAAATATCATATTTGATACAATTACTTCCAAGAATAATTCTTAACAAAATCTAGCCTATAAGGGAGTAAACATTTGATAATATAACTTTTTTATATAAGCAATATTAGCATGAAGTACCTCAAAATCTACTGGTGAAAGAATGATTTAAAAAAATTACATCGTGACTTTTTCTTTAACATCAATAAAATATTGTCTTCAATAGATTCAGGAACATCAAGGGTTGAAAGTGATATAAATAAAATAGTAATAATTAGAATTGAAGAATATGGGAAATAGTTGAAATTTAAAAGGATTTTTATTTTAATCTGATTTTATATAATTTAAAATTTATAAACATTATGGGTGGAAAATATATTTTCACTTTTAACAATAATTTAAAATGAAGGGTTTTGACGTGTTTTCTGGATCAACTATGTTCTTTTACATTTTTTAAATATTGAGAAATTATTAGATTAAATTTGGTAATAATTCCCTCAAATAGAGTTTATTGAATGATTTAAAAGTATTCATAATTTCAGGTCAATTTATATTCTAAACGGAACTCAGATAAAAGTTGTGATGTATTCAAAATACAAGCCTCTTTTCAAAGATTTTATGAGTATTTGATAATGATATTGGTATTTAATATAATCTATTATTGTTAAACAATAAAATCAAAATTAATGCTAACTTCTACTACAATCTTAAAGCCTTGAAGAAACCAATGAAAAAATTAACTACAAGGTAAATGTAAAAAATTAACTTATAATAATTGATTTATTCATTATTATATTTGTAAACTCATTTTTCCTAATATTTTCTGATCTAATATTCTCTTGATTTATCATCCAAAGTGATCAAAAACTACCCATCATCAGTCAAGCATCCATAAATATGATTTGTGCCAAAATCAATAAATTACTCTGCTATAAATTCACTATTTTGTTTCTTCCTTATTAAACTGACATTTTATACCTTTCTATTCACAAGTATACATTTTTATTTTATATATTATTATTTTTACAACCACATATCTTCACCCCCTTTTACTAGGATATCCTTCATTTAAGAATACTATTTATTAGTAATATCTATCTCAAAAATATATAATTAATCTTTATTATAAGTTTAAAATGTGAATGTATTTTCATCAATAAAGCATAATCCTTTACCATAAGAGTCTACTTTAATCTTCTATATTACTATCCATTGTTTATCCAATTATAGTTGTTCCATTACTAATATATAAGTTGATCCCTTCCACAAGATATTAATTTATTTTGTTATTCATTAAAACTTAATCCAAATACATCTGAATTATGTTCAGAGATGGTCTAAGAGCACAACCATTTATCTTATTTTTACCAGAATTTTATTTTACTATCCTAACTACCAAATACAATAAGATCTTCATTATTATTTAATACCAAACAAATGATACTCTTTGTATGTTCAAAGATTTTCTATTTGCAAATCCATGAATTATTTTGATCTTTTGTCCATATCATAATTGAATAATCTTAACTCCCAGATATAAACTGATCCGATTTCTTCATAAAATTCAAGGTATTAATATAGTGAGTGTATCCACTTAAAATTTAAGCTTATTTCAAAATTCCTGACTTAAATTCAAACACTTAAATTTAACTTTCACAAACAGAAATTAATATTGAACAATCTTTATCAACGGCAATTGCACTACAAAATTAAAATTATTTAATTGAATTTTGTGGTATCAATTCATAATTGAATGGTTTAAGATTTAATTGTGTAAATGTAAATTTTGATGATCGTTAAATAAATTATGAATTAATAAGTTATTAAATTTGAGATTCCTTTTATTAGATTATGAGTTACAATTGAGAGTAAGTTTAATACAATTATTATCGATATTATTGTTCAATATGTTAAATATTAGTCTTGATTAAAGAAGTCACTTCTTAACAAATTTCCTACGGGAAAAGACCATCTTTCAATTTAAAATTATAACTCTAATTGACCTTTTTTATATCACATTATAGTTAAGAAGCTATCATCTAATTAGATTCATCATTAAGGATTTAATCAAGTTAGGCATCAATATTGTTAAATGACTACTATATGAATTTACCAATAACTTTATACGTCAACTGATAATTACGAATTTTCTATGCATTCATTTATTACTCTTTGGTACTCTTTTCTTTAAACTTATTCAGAAACTGTTTGCTCTTGAAATTTAAAAGATATTTATTTTAATAAAACTATTGAAAATTTGTATCAAAGCTAAACTAATCAATTATAAATTATTATATAATTCTTTACATTACGATCATAAAAATAATCACAAGGTCTTTATGAGGTCGATTGTGATAGAACCTAAAAACTCAGATATCAGATGGCAATAAGGCTGTTCCATATTTATTAGAAATTTGATTGATTCAAATCAAAATGTTTAAAATTTTTTGATTTGGATAAGTTTGAAACAATTAGAATGTAAAAATCACAATCATACAGAACAACAAAGGTCTTTTTTTATTTCAAAATGAATGAGCATGTTTCTAATAAATAACAAAAATATCTTTAGCTTTATCAGATTTATTTAATTTAAGGATAATATCTAATCACCCATATTATATCATATTCTATTTAACACAAAAAATAACTCAATCAGTCAGTTGAAAGCTTTGCAATTATTTTTTCGGG